ATTCTAGTAATAAAATAGATTACTATTTTATTCTTATGGTTATTGTAATAAAATATGAATATAAATAATAAACACAAGTTAGATAGCAAAGAACCTTTCACCAGGCGCTTCGTTTTAAAATGACAAATTGTCTTGTGGGTGTACGCCGCACTCGGCAAACTATGGTACCCACGTCTTTACAACGAAAGTCTGTTCGTTTCGATACGGTTTCCTTTATGCATATATCAATGGAAACTTTATTAAATAAGCTATCACATTATGCATAACAGATATATGTTATTTATATGTATGTTATATAAATGTATATTATATATATCATATATATGTTACAAATAGTTTGCTATCACTCGACGCCATATTATGGCGTTTGACAGATGCGCATATTATTTGAGACGCCAGAATATGGCGTTTGGACAGACGATGGGCTATGTTTGTAACTGAATAATTATTATGTTTTATTATTTCTAAAGCTATATTTAAATCTTATATAAAGTTACTGCACTTGATAAGCATAAACGTAAATAATATTGATATACCATATATACATTGGTTGTCTTGAAAACTTTTTTAATCTGTAGCTTTGATCACAATCTGTGATCTTTGACTTTATCTTAGAATAGTTATTATAATTTACATGGTTATGCAGACTAAGATAAACATTACAATAAACAAAACAGATAAGTTTCACGTTCTCTTAAATGACTATTGTTAAGAGCGATAATCTTTCATTTATTTATTTCATTATCAAATAACACTATGCATTAAATTAAAATAGTTTTTACGGATTTAATCGCGTTTAATTTCACTTTTTTTCCCGACGTTTGTATTGCTTTACAGCACTCATGGTCAGGGGGGGACTGAGGTGCTTGACGTCCCGTGTCGTAGTTAACCCTAGCCGGGTTCAGGTCAGCCTTCAGTTTCTTAATATTAATTTTTGGTCCGATCTACGCATAATTAGTTTACAGTATCTTGATGTCTTGCAGTGGTATGCTTGGGTTTTGATTTAATTTTATTAATTATAGGATCTCAAGCACATAGTAGTACCCATCCATCTTCTTAATTGAAATTAGGATATTTTTTTAGTTTCAATAGCTTCGCGAATCATCCCAGGTAGGAATCGGTTTTTTTTTGCGAGGATTTGTAGTCTATCAAACCTAATGTAATGGCGGGGTCGATCTTGAACATGTTTACAGACTGCAGACTTCCCGGAACGTCGGTGCTTCACGTCAGCTATATGTCTTTTTACGCGCGCTTTTATAGATCTTTTTGTTTGCCCTATGTAGGAGAGACCACATTCACAATCAAGCTTGTACACTCCTGCATCTTGTAATTTTCTTCAGTAGCTTGTAGAAGGTTTTAATGGAAACTGGCTTCAAGATGCTAGTACAGCAGGGGTGCTCGACCGTGGTGGCTTCACTCGGTCACTATGACGTAGGCGCGGGACCTGAAGCTTGTTGGCTTGCAATACTTGCTTGACGTGCTGAAGCTCAGCGGCCAGCTGTCTTCTGTCACAGATCCCTCGTGCTCTCTGAAAGAAAGATTTTCCCACGATAGCTAAATGTGATGGAAGATGGTGAAATTCACCATTTAATTATCGGTTGGTATGGGTCTTTTTCATATACGTACTGTGACCACTGTGACAGAATTTCGGATGACTAAAACATCTAGAAAAGCTAAAAAAATATTTGCCTCTAACTCCATTGTGAATTGTATTTAAGAGTTTATGGATTTGAGGTGGTCGAAAAATGCAGAATTATTTTGTCATATGATAAAATTGTGAAAGCGTCGTCTATGCAACGCTTGTAGAATATTGGATTTAAAGGAGCAGTAAGATGGGATTTCTCCTCAAAGTCTTCCATGAATATGTCGGCGACTACAGGAGATACAGGTGAGCCCATCGCCACACTGTTTACTTGCTTGTAGAACTCTTTCTTCCACAGTAGATAGCCAGATGTGCACACATTGCCATACTATAATCCTGTCCTGTGCAGATAAACATCTGTACAGGGCAGGATTGACAGTCTCGGTTGGGACTGATCGCCGTGACCGAATATCGGTCTGGCAGACTGAAGTTGGTTACGAGTGTCCAAGGATTAGAATAATGGAAGCTCGTTTGTTACTTTAATATTATTTGACTGCCTCGTTGGTCTAGTGGTTATAGTAGTGCAACTGCTGATCCTGAGGTCCTGGGTTCGAATCCCGGGTCGGGCAAAAAAATTGATTATTGAGTTTTTCGGTCCAGAAATTCTCAGTAGCTGCCCGGAGTCAGGAAGTTGGCGGTGTCTCACCCCCGTGCCTCGGAAAGCACGTAAAGCTGTTGGTCCTGCGCCTGATCTCTCTCCGGTCGTGTCGGTTTACCGTCCCATCGGATTATGAGAGTGAGGGAATAGAGAGTGCAACTGTGCTTGCGCATACACTTGGGCACTATAATCCTGTCCTGCGCCGATGGCTAGCCTCCGTTGAGGCAGGACGCAGTGGCCGAAATTCGGTCTGGAGGACATTATTATTATTTGAAATATAAGACATGTGCTTCAAGTAAATTAAATAACCTAAACGGTTACATTTAATTCTAAGATTCAATTTATTTTCTAAAATGAATGATTAGTAATTTTTTAAGTTACCATAGTGCTTCTCTGTGTAGAAAACAACATGCACGCAACATTTAAAAGTATGTCAAACCAATCTAATTTCCACGCGGGTTATAGCTAAATAATTTTTAGTCCTTTAAATTTTTCATTAAAATAAATGTTTATTTCTTTCTGGGCAGTAATTTATGTTTTTTATAAAGAAAATAATAGTTCATCAAATTAAAATTTAATATTTTTTTATCCCACTTTTTAGTTTTTTGCGAACACCAAGCCGACTGGAATTATAAAAATAATGTTTTAATTAACAAAAGAGCAAGTTGTCAATGTCATTTTATTTAATAGTCATTTTTAGATAGATATGCTTTTTTAAAATTATTTTCAGTTTATAGCCCTTTTAGGTTTTAGATTTATTTTGTTTTTATTTAATGTTTTTAGATAAGCACAAACGAGGAAATTATGCCTGAGTGAGTAATATTTTGTAATCATAGCACATTGGTTTATGACGATGATGACGTTGCCGCGGTTTATTAAGAACACGGTAGTAAATTTCCAATCATGTAGGAAGTTATCTTGCATATTGAATTATCTTTTATGTTATCTTGTATATTATTTATATTGTTTGATTTCCATAAACATTGGCTTTATAGAGTATATACAGCTAATATCCTATACCTTTAAACGAGCAATTCTTGTATATATATATATAATCGGAATCTCGGAAACGGCTCCAACGATTTTCATAAAATTTTGTGTGCAGGAAGTTTCGGGGGCAATAAATCGATCTGCTTCAATATCGTTAGAATAAGAAGGTAAATTTTGACAGTTTATTAATGATTACAAATAGCTTAATTGGTATATTGGGCGCTCACGAAATCGTAATAACATGGTTCGAGCCTAGACCGACCGACTTTTTTTAATTTTTTTTTTTTTTCAAGTTCCTTTCTTTTTTTTGAGAAAATCTATTTTTTTCGAGCTCTTTTTTTATTTTTTTAAAAACACGAAAATTTAAATTAAACTAATTGCACTCACGATTTTTTATTCAAATAACCAGTTCAGTTTTTTCTTGTCTGTGTCTCTAAGATCAAAAAATATTATTCGTATTTCATCAGTATGTAATTTTTATCTAAATATAATTTCCAAAACACACGAATTAAAAAAAAACCGAGCGAAAAATACCGCGCAAAGCTCGGTCAGCCGGGTACTATAAATAAAACATATACATAAACGATGTGTCTACCCATTCGGCAATGTAATGTTTAACTTAAAATTAAGTTACAATCGTCCGATAAGGTATTAATAGACAAGAAATACATTTTCAATTTAATAATTCATAATAATGACCTCCAGGCACGGTCACGGCGGCCTGCCTCAACGGAGGCTAGCCATCGGCGCAGGACAGGATTATAGTGCCCAAGTGTATGCGCAAGCACAGATGCGCTCTTTATTTCCTCACTCTCATAATCCGATGGGACGGTAAACCAACACGACTGGAGAGAGATCAGGCTTAGGACCAACGGCTTTACATGCTTTCCGAGGCACGGGGGGTGAGACACCGCCAACTTCCTGACTCTGGGCAGCTACTGAGAACTTCTTGACAGAAAAACTCAATAATTGATTTTTGGCCCGACCCGGGATTCGAACCCAGGACCTCATGATCAGCAGTTACAGTTACTACTATGTTACTACTATGACCACTAGACCAACGAGGTAGTCGGAATGCATATACATAAACACTCACGCCTGTCACCCAGAGGGGTAGGCAGAGACTACAGGCTTCCATTTGGCACGATCCTGACACACCTCTCTCGCCTCCTTCACATCCATACACCTACGCATACATGCTCGTCGGTTAAGGGTACTCCTAATTTGGCCCGTTTTCAATAATTCGCCTAGGACGTCCCTTTCCGACCCTGCCATTCACTTCTGCAACATAAATTTTCGTTGCCACTCTTTCCTAATTCATTATTTCCACATGACCAAACCACCGAAGCATTCCTTTCTTAATCCTGGTCACAACATCATCTTGCAAACCCCACTCTTCTCTTATTACACAATTTCTTACCCTGTCAGAATTCATATAGAATATGTCATCATGTTCATTTCATATAATATATTAATACTCCACTGCTGAGCATAGGCCTCTCCAATATATTGCGTCATATTTGCCAATCATAATCATAGCCGTCAGGCTTGGCAGGCGGTTGCCAACCGCAGTCTTAACTATTTTGAGTTTGCTGAAAGATGTTGCTACCCATATCCTGTTTTGTTTTGATTACGATACTCACCGGATATTTTTTGTGACGAACGAGAACACAGTCCACCTATTGGTCCTTCCATGATCGTGCTACCTATTAGTAAAACAGCTGTAGCTGTGGTGTAGCCAATACACCACATTTATACAAGTAAAACGAAATGGTAAATTTTTTATTGGTGGTAAAACACACTACAAACTTCCCAGAAAAGAGTGAGGACCAATCTGTTATTTTATTATTGTTTTAGTTAATTCATGACCAAAAAACTGCTGAACAAATTTTGATAAAAACGACTAAAGTCATCACCAGACCGCCTCTGGTAACTTCGTTGCCTCGAGTGTCTGAAGTGTGTGAATGCCAATACGCTCTTTTACATCAGATATCCTCCCTAACAACGACATCATCCAACTCTAGAGGCCTTTAAATATGTCAAAATATGATTTTGGAAAAATTATATTAAAAAATTAAAAACACGAAATAAAAGGAGTTGATGATCTTCGAACGGCTAAACAGATTCTTTTGAAACATGCCTAAGAACACTTTCGATCAAGACACCTTTCATACGAAACAAACTTAATCAAAAGCGGTTTATACAATCAGGAGCTATGATGCCAAAGACGGATAGACACTCCGTTTTCACCGGGGGTTAAAAATCGAACACATTACAATTACTTCCTACTGAAAACTTGAATATATATTTATTCATTTACGACTCTATAAAATTAACGTGATAGAAATATTAAGCATTGCTTATTGTACTTCCTATACTACCTATTGCCCTTCATAAGTCCACTGCTGTACATAGGCCTCCCCCAAGGAATGCCACAAAGCACGGTCCTGAGCCACCTGCATCCATCGACTTCCTACATGTCTTACCAGGTTGTCCAGTTCAGTTACCAGGGGGTCGCCCTACACTACGCTTACCGGTACGAGGCTGCCACTCGAGAACCTTTTTCCCCATTCGTTGTCGGTTCTTCGAGCTATACGGTAGGCCCATTACCACTTCAGCTTACTAGTCCGTTGGGCAATGTCGGTCCCTCTAGTTCTACTGCGGATATCCTCATTTCAAGTTTATCACCCAGAGAAACCCCAAGCATAGCCCTCTCCATAGCTCGCTGTATAACCTTGAGCGTCCTCAATAACCCAAAACATATAAATAGCCATCACGAGCTCGAACAGGAAGCATCTAAATATATCAGCAACCTAAGCATGACTTTTCTATCGTATCGAATTCGTATATCTATCGAATGACTTTGTACGACAAAACTTAGTTACTTTAAAGACGCAAGGCCAGCAAACACAAAGCGGTTTACGGTGCATTTATCATCGATGAAAATTGTATGCACTCGTCACGGATTCGTCGGTTCGACGGGGGAAGGATCATACTCTCACAGAATACCAGCGTAAAATAATAACTCAATGGTGCTGCGTTTCATATGCTGAGTGTAGAGAACCGAAGACCCTTTTTACTGGAGACGAGGCATTCCATCTTAGTCCTCGGGGGTGACAACGCATCTGCATTTTGATTAATCAAGGATAAATATAGGTTTCTATGGGCCACAGCATCCACTCACCATAAGCTAGACTGTGTGCTCGTATGTGATCCTTATTTTTTATAGGATAGGGTGACAAACGAGCACACAGTTCACCTGATTGTGTGTGCTGTGGCCCATGGACATCTACATCTATCCTCGATTTAATTTAAAATATTCCTAAAGCTAAATTTTAACTATAATTTGACGCCTCCGTGGGTTAGCAATGAGTTGGTGCGCTTGGGGTCGTGGTTCCATCCCGCAGGGACAAATATTTGTATGGGCTACAAATAAATGTTCCGGGTCTGTATGTTTGTGCTTGTGCAGTTTGTTTTTAAACTGCCTCCACGATACAGGAGAAAATCATAGTATGGGAATTACATCTTTTAAAACGTGGGAGCATCCATGCCCTTGCAGATCGTGCTGCTATTGGGGCTCCTATTATTAATCCGGTGAGAATTCTACAATTATCTGAGAGCTCGTGGCGACTGCAGCGGCAATATATTTTTTTATTTGTTTATTAATTAACACTCTTGCGGCTTTTATCGCGTTTAATTAACTATTTAACTTATTTTTAATTCCCGATGTTTCGGGTGCTTTACAGCGCCCCAATATCAATTTTTGTGCGCTTGGGGTCGTGGTTCCATCCGCAGGGACTATTTGTATGGGCTACTTCCAGCGGTCTGTATGTTTGTGCTTGTCGGTTGTTTTTAAAAAACTACAAATTTGCAGGTGTGTGCCCTGCCCAGCGGCTGCGCCCTGCGCCCCATCCGCTGGTATCAAGTCCGGTTTACGAGATGGAAAGCTTATTGACGGCAAGCAAGAGCATCCATGCCCTTGCAGATCGTGCTGCTGTGGGAAAGCTCCTATTATTAATCCGGTGAGAATTCTACAATTATCTGAGAGCTCGTGGCGACTGCAGCGGCAATATATTTTTTTATTTGTAAATTTATTAATTTAAAGAAATAACACTCTTGCGGCTTTTATCGCGTTTAATTAACTATTTAACTTATTTTTAATTCCCGATGTTTCGGGTGCTTTACAGCGCCCCAATATCAATTTTTGGTCGGATCTACGCAGAACGAGCTTAGATGGGACCAAAAAAATATTCAAAAACTGAAAGTAGCCGGGCTGACTATGACATTGGGACGTCAAACATCTCAGTCCGAAGCCGTAAAGCCGAGAAGACCGAAGAAGTAAAGCACCCGAAGCGTCGGGACTTAAAAATAAGTTAAATAGTTAACTAAACGCGATAAAATCCGTAAATAGAGTTTAATTCAATGTTGTAGTGTTCGCGTAAATTTAAGAAATCGTTAAAGAAATAAGTTATTATGTTATTTTACTCATTCTTTACATTATTAGTTGCAAAGAATTTGTGGTGAGTACTATAAAATGGCGGTGTAAGAATATTCACTACCCCATATCGTCCCGTGGACATCGTAAGAGGCGACAGAGGGAAACTAAAGAACTGGGCAAGCAACATCTTCCTGATAACAACTCAAAATAACAAACACTTCGGTTACTCGCCTGCCACGCGTAACAACCATAGCTAAATACTCCATATGAGGCAAACTATAGGGAAGGCCCATGTTTAGCAGTGGACTTCAGTGGGCTATAATGGTGAATGGTGGGTGTGGTGGTAGAATTGAGAAACGATCTGAGCATCTGACCAAATGTGGAACTTATTTTCCATTGACATTGTTATATAAAAGTGTAGATAGGTAAGCATCATAGACACAGATAAATAGCCTCTCATGCTGTCAGTGAGGAATTGTTTTATTTTCGGCTTCATGGTGGGCTATGTACAGTTGTCAGCGGAAGTTGACAACCAATTACTTCAATATGCAGCTAGGAAAGTAGTTAATATATCAGCAACATAGTCACTATGAACTGGAATTTAACCTAAAATTTAATTACTAACTGTTGGAAATTAATTTAAAAATTATTTAAAACAAAAGAAATATTACTCTTATTAGAAATTGTTCCGGAGGTTAACCGTAAAAATTATAAAAATTTGAGTGCAGATTTTCAACTTGCTGTCTTGTTTACATGTTATGCACTACACGATATATATTCTATACTGAAATAGAGCAAATACAGTTCGATCAGCCGTAATACGTCCTCGCTCTAATCACATACTGGTGTAACGTGAAGGACATAATTACATGATTTCCATGTAACACAGGGCAGCTCTCTCAGCAATACGATCTTCCTTGCCTACACTAGTAGAATACCCCAACGGGCATAGTAACCATAGTGAGACCCGTAGAATTACCGACTGATCCCTCTTAGTCGTCTGCGCGATATTTTATACTGCTATAACGGGTAGGAGATCACAGTTCTACCCTCATTTCTTCACATTTTCTTTTTTTCTTTTACCTTCGTTGCTAACTGTATAACCAATACCACAATACAATACATACACACGCACGCACGCACACACCCACGCACGCAAGTACGCACTACAGGTTCTCATCACACACACACGCGCGCGCGCGCGCGCCGCGCGACCGCACGTAGACAATTTAATCTTTACGTATGCGCAATTTTATACGTAAAATTGTTATGGAAGAGCGGGTTCTCCTCACACAGGAATATACTTAAAAGGAGATCCCAGCCTAGTTAATGTATTTAAATTTATGATACTTAATTTAAAAAATGGTTTTTTTAAATCTACTACTATACTTGTTCTCTAAAGCCTTTACCGCACTCTGCCATTTAGTGGCAGAAGTAGGTAAGAGAGTGCTGCCTACCCAAACGAACTCCTACTTATGAAAAGAAGTCCTACCTGGTAAGCCAGCGTAGTACCAACCGCCAGTACCAGCGTAAAGTAGCAGCTTAATGCTGCTGTGTTTCGTATGGTGAGGGAACCGGAGACCCTTTTTTACTGGAAAAGAGGCATTCCTTCTTAATCCTTACGGCTGACAAAGCATCTGCATTTTGATACGCAAACGAAGATAGATGCAGACATCTATGGGCCACACCAACCACTTACCAGGTGGACTGCGTGCTCGTTTGTCACTCTTATCCCATGAAAAAAAGTTCACGTAGTAAAAAGATGAAGGAGGAATAAAATTAGGTAATAAAGTAAGTTATAACATTTTGATAACTTATTCTTGCTTTTCTTTAGTGTTATAAGCAGCCCAAGATCCCAGAGTCCTACGCACCACGTCGATGCTACATGAAACCTACTGCTCCAGTAGAATCCTGCACTACTTACAAGCTATCGTACTTGCCGGTCGATGGCTGCCAGAATCTTAGAGGCGTGCCAAGGAAACCACCTCCCAACATTGTGCCAAGCTGTGAGCCTATGGAGTCTTGTACTGTACAGAAGGTAAGTCTTTCATATGAAGTTGGGGTATAAATATGGCTGAATTTTCAATTCATTTTTTTAAAGTCACCTCTAGCAATGTCCCCTGCCTCATAGAGCATATTTACATCCATAAATGTACAATGACACAAACATCTTGAGACATTAGCCACCATTTTTATAAGCCATGCAAATAGTTTCCAAGTTTAAAAATTGTATCAAACAAAAACTGTATGTGTAGCGGCGCTGTCGTCGCGCCACTAGCACACCGAAACACACCGAAGCCTAAATCGCGCTATTAATATTCCGAATCATAGACAGTATATATAGAACTTCTCCGAAATATCACTCGGAGTGTTGGCCGCTCCCCGGGCAGAACACCTTGCCCGGCGGGAGATCTCCCCTTTTCCTACTTCGGCCACATATGTATATCTTAATATATATAAATTACGTGTCACGTTGTTTGTCCGCGATGTACTCCTAAACTACTTAACTGATTTTAATCAAATTTGCATACCGTGTGCAGTTTGATCCAACTTGAGAGATAGGATAGTTTTTTTGCCCGTTACTTGACCCACGATTCTTTTTTGCTAATTTAAGGATTTGTAATAGGACATGACAAAGGGTCGTCGAAAAGGGCAGAACAACGTCTGCCTGGCAAGCTAGTTATTATAATATTAAGAAATACATTAATGATAATTGCGAATTAGGATACTGCTATTCTAGTCTCGCTACATACAAAAACGGATTTCGATAAAAAAAATTGTATGTGTTTGAATGGGTCACTAAATGGTTTAGATTCACATTTGGATCCGGTAGGTGGCGTTGCTGTTGAGATCCAAAAATCACCCGTGCGAAGCTGGGGCGGATCCCTAGTAATTCCTGTAAATAATTCTACATAATTGTTGTAAAATATTATGTCTAGAACACCCGGTGGATATTTAGCTGGTTCTTCTCAAGACAGAGGTATTTTCCAAAACATGGTCGTAAATGAAAATAAAATACTTTGAATAAGTATTTAGTAATGATCTATATTAAATTTAAGTGACTTATTCTATGCGGTACTCAAGGTTGCAAATACACTCGAGCTTTCTAATTATACAGTAGAATGTAGTACGTAGTGGCGGTGTAAGAATATCTACTACCCCATATCATCCCGAGGGTGTCGTAAGAGGCGACAGAGGGAAACAAACAGGAGATGGACAGCAGAGTCTTCCTAATAACGACTAATGATAAAAAAATGCGGTTGTCAACCCGCTTGCCAAGCGTGGCAACTATGTATGGCAAATATATATGAAGCAATCTATGGTGGAGGCCTATGTTCAGCGGTGGGCTATAGGCTGTAATGGATGGATGTATAGAAGATAATCTACCAGGAGCACATGACCCACTGAGAGGTGAAATTATAAAATCAACAGTAACATTACAACTATGGCAAATACCCTCCTAAATATGAAGCAATATATACAGGAGGGCTATGTCCAGCAGTACACTTAACTAGGCTTTAACGGTAACGGTATTCTTTGATTAAGACAGCTGACTAACGTATCTACTTTTTAAATATCATTAATAAATAATAGTTACAATCAAAATGGCTCAAATGACAGCGTAATTCAATTCAACACTTTAGTGATGATTGGTCGTTGTGATTTTTTTTTATAGAATTAGGGTGACAAACGAGCACACAGTCAACCTGACGGTAAGTGGATGCTGTGGCCCATAGACATCTACATTTATCCTCGATTAAGAATCAAAACGCAGACGCGTTGTCACCCCTAAGGACTAAGATGGAATGCCTCGTTTCCAGTAAAAAAGGGTCTCCGGATGTCTACACTCACCATACGAAACAAAGCAGTATTAAACTGCTATTTTACGCTGGTATTCTGTGAGAGCGTGGTCCTTTCCTGGTCATGCCAACCCATTCGTGCATAATATAGCTGCAGCGTCGCTCTACCACATATATTTGACATATCTGTCACGTATGTATGATAGAACGGAACCTGTACTAGGAACACAGGGTGTGTTACAATGCTATGCAATTTTAAAATGTAAAGTTGGTAAAGTGCCCGTGACTTCGTTCGCATAGAATAATTTTTAATACTTTATTATTATACTTTCCTATTTTAATCGGATTTTGTTCACGATTTCATGTTTTTTTTTACGAGGAACCCTAATTCTTTTTCTAAAATATACGTAGCCTAAGTTGCTCCTTGTAACATCGGCTATATGCCAGTGAAAGTCCCTTCAAAATCAGTACAGCCGAAATAAGCAGACAGAAACACAAAAATTTCTACATACGCATTTAGTTAAGTTATTTTATTTCAATTTTATTTATTTGTATAGGTCACATCCTTAACAAAAAATATGTTGTTTCAGCTTTCATTCCTACCAAATCCAGTGTGCGTGACGCAGCCGATCAGACCGTGCCACCACGACATGTGGGGCCAGGGTCCCATGCAGAACATCACCACGCAGCGCCATGACTACGTGCCGAAACCGTGCGTGCTGCGTGAGAGCTGCAAGCCGCCTCCAAAGTTCCACTGTGTAGAACAACCCTTTGAAAGTAATTACTTCATTTATAAACTTAAGATAGAAGTTCTCAATTCGACTTGTGGCGGCGCTGTCGTCGCGCCGCAAGCGAAACACACCGAAGCCTAAATCACGCTATCAAAATTCCGAATCATAAACAGTATATATAGAACATCTCCGAACTATAACACGGAGTGTTGGCCGCTCCTTGGGCAGTACACCTTGCCCGGCGGGAGATCTCCCCTTTTTCCTTCACGGCCACAGACTGAATTGTTTTGTTACGCGTTATAGGTTACCTCAAGGATGGTACTGTATAGATTTGAAGAAAAAATTCCACTCCGTAAGTTTGAAAAAATAGGGGATGAAATGTTTTAAGTAACTATTTAGACGGCGTTTTAATTGTTAGGTTGTGACATTGCTTAGCCCACTCAAAATGGTCAAGTAATCAAATTAAAAAAAACGATTTCAGGAAACAAATAAATAAATTTTATTTTTATTAATAATTTCCGCATAATTTAATAGCTTTTGAAGTCTACTAAGACACTGTGTATCAAAAAAAAAAGACCCATAGCTATTAAAAATGTGGATATTGTTTTATTTTTTACATCGCTCATCATGCGTACAGCAAAGGAGTGGAATAAGTTGCCAGCATCTGTGTTTCCATCCGATTACAATGTGGGTGTCTTCAAGGCAAGATTGAATAGGTTTTGTTAAGTCAGTGCGCTTCATCATCTTTGGCTACATCACCACTTACCATCAGGTGGGATTGTAGCTAAGTGCTGGCTTAGAATAATAAAAAAAAATTTTTTTGAAACACTTTTTACATTTTTAATCGACTTCATAAAGGGAGGTGGTTCTCAATTCGACTGTATTTTTATATGTGTCACCTCAGAACTTTTTTTCTGGGTGAACCGATTTTGATGATTTTTTTATTTGATCGGTGGCTGGTGCTTCTCATGTGGCTGCATATGAATTTAATCAAGATCTAACTAGTAGTTTTTGAGTTATTCTTAATAATTGACTTCGACTACATTGATGATGTTCTCATTTTATTCGATATTGAATTCGATGTTTTGATTTTACCACTTGTTTAAGATTAATTTATCATTCATTGTCTACAGACCTTAAAGTCGAAGCCAAACATACGCCTCTCCTGTAGATTGTCTCAATGGCGGATATTATCTAGTTTACGCCATACGTTCTCAGGGCAGCGACGGACAGTAGCGTCGAGCTACTTAGACGAGCCGTCTGGTTGTGATGATTAATACAAATTCTCCTTACAACGGGAAAGGCCCATGCGATGTGGATTGCTATGGACGCACACAGTCCGCCTGATGGTAAGTGGCTGCTGTGGCCCATAGACATCTACATTTATCCTCGATTAAGAATCAAGACGCAAATACGTTGTCACCCCTGAGGACTAAGATGGAATGCCTCGTTTCCAGTAAAAATGTTCTTCAGATCTTTACACTCACCATAAGTAACACAGCAGTATTAAGCTGCTATTTTACGCTGGTATTCCGTGAGGGCGTGGTCATTCCCCGGTCGAACCGGCCCATTCGCGCTACAACCATAATATAGCTGCAGCGTGGCTCTACCACGTATGAAAAAATGGCTGAAATGCATTGCATACACACCGAAACAAACACAACCATGCCTGAAAACGATGATTATTTATATTATGCTCAAATATTTGCTCCAGCTGGGATTTGAACATAGGACCCGCGCCGTGGCTAATTTGACTACTGTTTGTATGTTTAATCACTCAGTCTGGTGACGTGCATTGTCCAAGACACGAGACATCTGGTACTTCAATTGTAAAGCCTCACGATACGTCAGGGAGAGGCCAACATACAGGAGTCATAATTGCCGATGAAAAAGTAATTGTAATCACAAAGAAGAAGTTTCACAAAATATTTTTATCTCTACATATTGCAGACCGAACTATCAACAAACTGTCATATCTGCCACCGGAAAAGATAGAGTTGGTGAAATCCTTTGCGCCGGAGCGATGCTACGAGCGACCCGCAGCCAAGATGGAGGGCTGTACTACACATAAATTGAGCTATTTACCAAACCCGGTACTAAAATTATATCTGTAATATAAAACCAATTTAATTACAAGAGAATTTGGTCATTCTGTCATGTCGTTGTAGACGGTGCAAGCTCCGATTGCAAGCTTATTAATGCTGGTGTTCCACAGGGCTGCGTGCTATCGCCAACGCTGTTTCTTCTGCATATCAATGATATGTTGCAAACCCGTAGCATTCATTGCTATGCAGATGACAGCACTGGTGATGCTCTTTACACCGGCCGAGCCAATATTTCTCGGGAAAACGTCTCTGAGTGCCGGGACAAACTTGTGTCTGAAGTCGAGTCTCTGCTGGACAGAGTCTCGGATTGGGGGCGACTAAATCTAGTCCAGTTTAACCCCCAGAAGACACAAGTTTGCGCGTTAACCGCTAAAAAGAACCCCTTTGTCGTATCCCCTCAGTTTCAAGGCACTCCCCTTGTTGCCTCAGCCAGTATCGGAATCCTCGGCGTCGACATATCGAGTGACGTGCAGTTTCGTGGTCACTTGGAAGGGAAGGCCAAATTGGCCTCTAAAAAGCTTGGCGTGCTCAGCAGAGCGGGACAGTATTTCATGCCGGCACACCGCCTGCAACTTTACAAGGCGCAGGTTCGGCCGCTCATGGAATACTGTTCCCATCTCTGGGCTGGGGCTCCCCAGTACCAGCTCCTTCCACTTGACCGCATCCAGCGCAAAGCGGCTCGAATCGTCGACGACCGAGTGTTTTCCGATCGGCTCGATTCACTGGCGCTGCGAAGAGATGTTGCATCTCTTTGCGTATTTTATCGCATCTATCACGGGGAGTGCTCTGAGGAATTGTTCGGATTAATCCCAGCCGCCAAATTTCGTGAACGCACTACACGGCAAACGTCCCGATACCATCCACACCATCTGGATGCTTGGCGGTCCACCACTGTACGTTTCAAAAGGAGTTTTCTTCCGCGTACAACCTCTCTGTGTAATAATTTACCACCGGTGATTTTTCCGGACCGATACGACCTGGGGACCTTCAAGAAAAGAGCTTACTCCTTTCTAAAGGGCCGGCAACGCACCTGCAATTCCCCCTGGTGTTGCGGTTGATCATGGGCGGCGGTAGTCACTTAACATCAGGTGAGCCACATGCTCGTTTGCCCCCCTCTTCTATAAAAAAAAAAATTCTTCATATCAATTAAATCACAAGACAAAATATCTTGTCGGTCGTCCGAAAGTACCCTTAATATTTGTCACTCGAAAATATCGGTAAGACCGGATACGAGGTGGTAGTTTACATTTTCTACCTGGGATTCCGTCTAAGTGCCACTCTCATTCCCATTTTTGTCGATAAGTAATAGTGCGTGCACAGCTGTGTTTCCATCTGAACGGTATACTCGTAAAGAGCCAGTATATTTACAGGCCGTTAGGCATTTTTTTATAGAATAAAGGTGACAAACGAGCACACAGTCCACCTGATGGTTAGTGGATGCTATGGCTCATAGACATCTACATTTATCTTCAATTAAGAATCAAAATGCAGATGCGTTGTCACCCGTGATGACTGAGAGTAAAAAGGGTCTCCGGTTCTCAACACTCACCATACAAAACACAACAGCATTAAGCTGCTATTTTACGCTGGTATTCTGTGAGAGCGTGGTCCTTCCCCGGTCGAGCCGACCCGTTCGTGCTGCAACCACAATATAGCTGCTGCATGGCTCCATCTTAGTCCTCAAAGGTGACATCGCATCTGTAACCTTAATCGTTTAAAATTGGGTATTGGTGTTCATGGCTTGTAGTTGAACAAACCCCCCTCCCTCTCATACATTACCACAGAGTACGGTATTGAACCACTCTCCATCCATTTACTATCTACGTGTTCCATCAAGTCGTTACTCCGTCCACTAAAAGATCGTCTAATACTGCGTTCTGTACGAAGCTTCCACTTAAGAATCTTATTCTTCCCCATTGTTTGATAGCCATTAGGTTTATAACAAGTTCGTTACTGATCATTATATACGTGGTAGAGCCATGCTGCAGTTATATTAGTAGTATAGTTGTAGCACGAATGGGTCGCCTCGACCGGAGAAGGACCATGCACTCATAGAATACCAGCGTAAAGTAACAACCTAATACTGCTGTATTTCGTATGGTGAGTGTAGAGATCCGAAGACCCTTTTTTACCGGAAACGAGGTATTCCATCTCAGTCCTCACGGGTGACAACGCATCTGCATTTTGATTCTTAATTGAAGATAAATGTAGATGTCTATGAGCCATAGCAACCACTAACCATCAGGTGGACTGTGTACTCGTTTGTCACCCTATCCTATGAAAAAACTTCAATTTATTATATTCAATATATTATATTTAATATATAGAAACACAGTAGTATTAGGTTGTTACTTTACGCTGGTATTCTATGAGATCGTGGTCCTTCTCCGGTCGAGCCGACCCATTCAAGCTACAACCATAATACTACTGATTAATCGATGTACAACATTGTTAAAGCGTTAATATTGCTTGGTAAGGTATTAATAACTTCCATTTTAACAAATCGTATGAACTTACGCCTGAAATATTTCAATATGTCATAATCAATATAATTCAAAATTCGATATTTCATTATTGAAATTATATAATACCACTTTGCCTGTTGGTTGCGCGGAAAACCATTCGCGTTTTTTATTTTGACGGTAGGAACTTGTAGAATCATTATTTCCTTTCCAAACAATATCATTCGTACCCTCCTATCGACACATCGGGGTGGTGGGGTGGGAGGGGAAAGAAGACGATTCTAGAACATCGCGTAATCACCCGAGCCGAGGATATATAAGACACGCGCGACCGATGCGCGAGCCTCTTCTCCCGCCGCAGTCGTCGTTGAACTACAACCTCCTCTTCCCGCGCGCTCGTTTGGAAACACCTCACTAGTGGAAACCGCTTTGGCCTGGAAGCAGTCGAGCTCCAGGAACCCGCCTCACCTCGTGTGAGATATCGTCGCGCACCGCCTCTCTCCGGAGTGTT